ATGGACGCATGGACTTCCTTGTGCCTGTTACATGAGTATGACGTGCAATGCTAATGCCATGATTACCACGAAGAACATTCACGAGTTCTGGATAACACTTGAGGTGCCAGTATAATTTCAATATTGAATTGAATGCTTTTATTTTATTTTTTTCTTTTATTTTTTTTGCTTCACGTGCTGTTTTTTTATATAATTTATATATAGATTATGATGTTTAATGTTTTAAATTTGGCTGTACGAACAGATTACCAGAGTAGTGCACGCCATCCACGAGTAGTGCACGACCATCCACGAGTTGTGCATGGGGGTCGACGGTTGGGTGGACAGACCTGTCGTATTTTCGGAGCCTTGCGGATGAGGCCGAAATGGCCAATCCTGCGACCGTGCGTCATCTAAATCAGTACATCTACGCTCAACTTCACCCTGACCAACAAGGTTACGGAGAACCTGAAGTGAAGGAAAACACGCGAGGTCGACCGAAAAAGAGAAATTCAACGAAGCGTGATCCGTGTGTCTGGGAGTACCGGGAAAGAAGTCGTCCGGTGGGCCATAAAATCACTTCGTCGCAAGCACCGACAAGCTCATCTTCTCAGCGTTCAGAAGGACCGACATGTTAAATTCTAATTTATTTTATTATGTTTTAATCACTTCATCTAATTATGTACATAAATTCGATTATATATATTCTGACGTAAAACTTTGTGATATTATAGAGACATTCTCGACATACTTCTCCGGTTACCGGTACTGGAATAGCATTTCATACATTGTGCACGACTACGTAGAGAGCTACTTGGATGTGTCCGATGATGGGAACTGCGGATTTCGGGTAATTGCGAGCTATATTTTTTGTGATCAGGAGAAGTACCGGTTGGCAAGATAAATTATTGCAAATGAGATTGCGGGGAACATTTCGAGGTACAAGCCCATCTTCTTTGACGGGATCGATGCAACACTCAATCGAATACGCTAGGACGGGGGCCCTTATGGCTAGGGATGAAAACGGACGGGAACGGGCGGGAAACCCCCTAAACTGTTTCCGTTCCTACATGTTTTGACCGAGAACGGGAATGGGAAAGAACGGGAACGGGAACGGATGCAGGACATCCCGATATACAGAAACGAACTAATACGAACAGATATAATACCGGTAGCGGGCGGTAACGGGCAATTAAAGGCGGTATGACGATGACAAAAAACCACAATCATAAATCCATAATTGACACAATAATAAATTTAAACACAAGTCCAACAGCCGGTAGATCACAAGTTCACAGCAAGTTCAGACTCCAGAATACCAGAACTAGTCCACAAATTCACGACACGACATAGATAGCGACATAAATCTTAAACACTTAAGTCTTAATGATGATACTGGACCACACGTCCACTGTCCACACTAGACACCACACAATGGCACAAGTTCACAACTCATCTTCTTCATTCATCACATTTGGATCACTTTCCATTCCTTCCATATCCTACAATTTTAAAGATTGTTGCAACTTGCAAGTCAGTAGTGTTTGGAGGTCAAATGCTTTGATCTGAAGTTTTGGACATTTCAAGTGTTGCTTTGATTTTGAACTGTCAGTAGAAGTAGATACATTAACATACCTGATCCTCATCATGCAACGGGTTATCAAGAGAGAGAGAAATGATCTCTGGAGGTTCTAGATCAGCCACAATTGAAGGAATATACCTGGGATCTCAAAAACAAACGAGAGACAAATCAGTAAAGAAAACAGTTCATGTACCATTATAACTTGCAAAGTAGTTAAATAGCCACCTTTTCTTGCTGCTCGTATCCAATCTTTTGAGCAGATCAATGCTTGTACCATCTCAGGATCAAGACGACTACGGTAAGGAGCAATGACTCGTCCAGCAGCACTAAACGCAGACTCAGAAGCAACTGTTGACACTTGTATGGCCATCATATCACGAGCAATTTGTGAAAGAACAGGGTACTTCTCTGTATTGATCTTCCAATATGCTAAAATATCAAAAGGGTGTTGCTTCAAAAGTGGCTCTGCCAGATATCTATCCAATTCATTTAACTCGACTCTATCAGTCCCACAATCATCATATAGGAAGCTTTCAAGTTCAGCATCTAGATTTTCCCTTAAAGGATCTGCTGCTATGCTACTACTACCATTCACAGTACTCTTAGTGTTTGAGGATTTAGCAGTTTTAGTAGCATTAAACTGATACAATTTCTTTATGACAGTAAGCAACTCATCAAGTTGAGCTTGATAGTAATCACCATAGAACTTTCTCATGTAGAATTCTATAAGCTTCTTCTTGTATCTAGGATCAAGAAAGGATGTCACAACTAGACTAGTACTAGAATTGGTCCAATATTTCTCAAACTTTTCATGCATAGAAATTGCCATCTCCCGAATAGTGAAACCGTCACAAACACACCATTTATCAAGAATTTTCTTTATCTCACAAAAACCTCTATAAAACAAGTTTGCAGTTGGATATGAAGTACCAGATAGAAGTTCAGTAAGATCATAGAACTTTTTCAAGCAATGACAAATTTTTGTAGCAATCTCCCATTCAGCCTCAGATGGAGAAATGTTAGCATACTTACGGCGATTTGAGGACTTCAGCCTAATGAAAGCTGGCTTGTAGTGTAAGGCACCATATAGCATGAGGTAGGTTGAATTCCACCTAGTTGAAACATCAAGTGAAATACTTTTGTTTTTATCCAACCCACACTCAGCAGCACGCTTCATTAATTCTTCCCATTGCAATGGAGAGCCCTTTACAACTAGCACAAGTGCCTTAATCTTCTCAATTGTTTTTGAGATAACACTCAAACCATCTCTAGCAACCAAATTGAGTATGTGACAAGCACATCTAACATGAAAGAAAATACCTTCACAAACCAGACAAGCATTGCCATTCTCCTTAAGATCATCAATTATCTCTTCGACTGCCACTTTATTGCTACTAGCATTGTCCAATGTCAAAGCAAACAATCTCTTCTCAACGAACCAGCTAACCATGACTTCAGTAAAGGTCTCTGCCAACTTATGACCAGTATGGCGTCCTTCTACATGAAATAAACTGAGAATTCTCTTATGAATTTTCCAATCATCATCTATCCAATGAATGGTGATACACATATATGACTTGTTCTGACAAGATGTCCACATATCCATGGTTGCACTAAAGCGGCAACGAACTGTTTAAAATATGCATACAACTTTTCCTTTTCTTCCAAATATATATCCATTATTTCTTTTCTAGTGGTGACACGAGACTTCAAAGGAAAGCTAGGGCGCAAAGACTTTATAAAGTCAACAAAGTAATCATGCTCAACAATATTGAAAGGATACTCATGCATGATTATTGCTAAGTGCAGCTTCTTGACACTAGCCTTCGGATCATACCTGTAAGGCTGAATCAACGTGATGTCTTTTCCATGATCCTTTTCTACCTTCAATAGAAACTGCCCTTTTACAACATGATGTGCTGTTTTCAGATGGTTCCGAAAACCAGTTGTTCCATAGTTACACTCAGCTCTATATTTGGCCTTGCAATTAGGGTAGTTGCAGTACCCCCACTTCTGTTCATACTTCTTGCCATCCATCTCTACTATCTCAGTTTTCTTGGTAAAGTACTCCCAAACAAAAGATGTCAATTTCTTCGGCCTCCTTCCGTCACCCCCAGTCAACTCTCCAGTCTCATCCTCCTCTCCGTCCTCATCCTGCTCAACCTCAATAACAACATCATTTCTAGTTGCATTATCTGGGCCACGAGATTGTATGCCATTACCATCAATACCTGGCACATGTCCCTATTCATGTGTTCTTGTGCCGGAACCACTGCCAACCATTTGATTTGCATCATCACTAGCAGGTTGAGATGACCCTGAAGGTCGTAAAGAAGATCCTGACACACCAGCAGCCTGAGTAGCACTTTCACTTTGCTTTCTCTTGGTTCCTGACAAAGGACAACAACAAGAGGAAACTTAATAAGCTACTGCAAGCCAGCAAGTCTGCTGCTCTTGAAGTTGATTCAAAAATCATGTGCTCAACTACCTAGTAGCTTCTAATCCTAATAAGTAATAATGTGTTGTGCTAGTGCTAGTGCAAAACTGATCTACTACTCTTTACTCTCTACTGATGGAGTGACGTCGTGACAGGTACCTTAAATGGAACCGCTGGTGCTGCCTTTCCCAGAAGAAGCCGCCGGCTGCATTGCCTCTAGCAAGCGACCCAAAGAAATGCTCCTATGTTGCCATGGCCTAGCCTTAGGAGTGCAACGACCTGCACCTGCTTTGGTGCGTGGCATTGCAATACTAGTAGAAAAAACACTTTTAAGAACTGGTATATTTATATTGTAGAAAATGGAGAAATTATTGTAGTAAACTATTTATGATTGATATTTTCATTGATATATAGTCATTATTGGATGGACGTGTCAGCTAAAACCCCACCATCCACTATATATATTCTTTGGACTTCTAGATATGAGATAATTCATATTTCAATCCCTTTGATTTTTTCATGATTTTGTCTACAGCAAAATTAACATAAAACTCTTTTCTTCAAAACTTATAGGGCCTAATTTCTTCTCTTTCGTTTTCTCAATTTCCAACAAAACTTATAGGGCCTCAAGCTGAAAATAAAACTCTGATATTTACACAATATCAGCATGCTTAAATCATCAAAGCAGTGTCTCAACAATTAAGGCTAAAAAATGGCACAAACACATCACATAAACCTTTCTCTTTTCTTCAATTTTTTTCTCAATCACATAGCAACATATATAATGCCATAAAAACTATTTATATCACCTCTAAACAGAGTATATAAGTTGCACGAAACTCTCGAAAGTGCAGTTCAAAAACATATTAAATTTGGATGACGAAGGGTACCTGTTTCTTCAAGTCGAAACTCCAATCCGAGCCGGTGATTACGAAAGGACTTTTACTCCTCTAACTGGCGAGAGACTACGAGTATGTTTCTTCTCGGAATCCCTCCAAAGCCTATCCAGCCTGATTTCTCAAAATTCGTGGCGAGTGCGTCTTAGTGCAACGACGATTTGTGTGGGCCGCCTCTTATTCAATGCGAAAAATCAATAGGGCACGTTGATTCGGGGTAGAAATAAAGGGTCGCGGTTTGGAGGTCGGAGGTTGAAGGTGGCGCCGAGAATAGATATGCAGTGGGAGTCTGGGATAGATAGATGTGTTCCAGCGTGAGGTTTTAGGTTTAACTTGGGCCTGAAGGATTTAGGGTTGCGGTAGGAGTGTTGGGCTAACTTGGGCCTTCGGCTGACTTGGGCCGAGATGCGAGTTCCTTTGCCAGTCAGTATCCCGGGAATTTTAAAAGGGATAAAAACGGGATATTCCCGCTAAAAAATAGGAAACCAGAAAAATAGGCGGGAAACACCCCAAACTGTTTTCGTTCCCGTTAGCGTTTTTATCCGTCCCGTTCCCGTACCGTTCCCGGTAAAAAACAGGAAATACGAAAATGAGCGGGTCAAATATGGGAACGGTTGCAGGATGGTACGGGATTTTCCCGTCCTGTTTTTATCCCTACTTGTGGCCGTAACCACTGGATGGAAACTATGTGCGATCTCTTTTCTGTTGCCACATTTTTTAATGCAGTTGTTGTCTTGTTAGGCATGGGCAAGCATGGTGACAATCCCACCTTTTTTAGTTCTATTGTACTGCCGCTCGTCGCATCATCGACGGCTACACGACCGGAGCGAGAGATTGTCTTGTGTCATCTTGGTTGTTACCCACACTACATTCGTGTTAATTTGACTCCTGGCCATCCAATACCACCTATATGTCCTTTTTGGACGGCACTTCGAGATTGGTCGGTTGACGGTTGGGAGGATCACTACAACAGTAGAATAGCTGCATGGATCAGGATTCGTGATACACCTAGGTTTTGATATTCTTATAATATTCGGTTGTCATTATACGTTAGTTGGAACTTATGTATGTCATTGATTTTGATTTTTGAGTACGTATATGTTGATTGTGATGTAATTTTTTTTTAGTTATAATATAGTATAGCATATCGGAAATATAAAAACATAATGTGAATGAGTAACGACATATAAAAAAAAACAATTCAACCAAAAGTGGAGCGTACATGAAATAAAAAAATTATTCAACTAAAAGTCGAGCGTACAGTAAATAAAATTTAAAAAAAAACACAACATTATTTACATCAAACATCAACGCCGCGTCGCTCTCTCCCAATCCGCCTAAACTACGGACAGAGCGTCTGCGAACTCCGTAGCCAAATGAGGATCAACACGCTCGACCCGCGACATTTACACAGAGAGGACGTCGTCGTAACGTCGGAGCCACTATCCACAAAGCGAAGAGTTACAATAAATAAATATTATAATGAAAGCACACATTGAGAAAAAAAATTAAGTAAACGACTTACATAAGAGGCATCGACGCGCGAAGGGAC